GGGTGGGTGGGCAGGACAGGAGAGACGGGACGAGCACGGGAGGGACGGCGAGCCCAAACGTGAGACGGAGGGGTAGGGTCAGGGGACAGCGGAGGAGACACACGAGGGGAACGAGGAGGAAGACGGGCCGGAGACGAGTCTGGCGGCGGGAACACAGGACCGTAGACAGAAAGGTCAGGAGGCGGTGGGGGAGACACCGGCGCGCGGTCCGGGGAGGGAAGGCCGAGCAGGCGGAGAGCGGAAACCGGCGGCGACGGCTGCTGCGGCGGCGACGACGGCTGGGCCGGAACTCTCGGACCAGCAGAGGCAGAACGACCGTCGGCAGAACACTCAACAGCAGCACCCCCAGAACCAACACCCCCAGAGCGAGAACCCCCTCCAACACCAGCGGCACCCCCAGAAGCCGCAGGACGAACACCCTCCTCCACACCAGCACCCCCAGGGGCCGAGAGCAGCGGCGGCAGTGGCGGCAACGGCTGCGGCGGCGGCGACAGCGGCGACGGCTGCGGCAGCGACAGCGGCGGCGGCGGCGACGACAGCGGCGACGGCTGCGGCGGCGACGGCGACGGCGGCGGCAGCGGGGTCGGCGACTGCGACAGTGGGGGCGGAGGCACCGGGGAAGGGGGACGCTGCAAGGACGGACCGGGGGTACCACCAGAGTCAGCAGACTCCTCAACGGGGACAACCGACGGGAGGGGAGTGACGTGGGAGACACCAGACGGGGCAGGACGAGGCGGGAGAGGGGCAGGGGCTACCGGGGGAGAGGGAGCAAGGAAAAGGGGGGGGGCAACTGGGAGACCTCGGTGAGGGAAGCGGCGGTAGAAGGAGACGGACTCGTCAAAGGTGACGTCACGAGAGTGGAGGAAGCGGTGAGACGGCGGGTGGTAGAAAAGCCAGTCAGACGAGTCCAGGGGGAAACCGAGGAAGACACAGGGGACAGTGCGGGCAGTGAGCTTGTCCGTGCCAGAGGCACGAACGTGAGCAAGGCAGCCCCAGACGTGGAACGCAGACGCGTCACCGGGGGACCCGGTCCAAAGGAGGGTCGGCGAAACCTGCGGCCGCTGGGAGCGTGGCCACAGGTTAAGCTGGTGAGCCGCGTAGCGAACAGCGAACGGCCACAGAAAATGGGGGGCATCGGCATGGATCATGGAGGTACGGGCGACCTCCATGACCAAGCCGATGCGGCGCTCAGCAACCCCATTCTGCTGTGGCGAGTCCGGCAACGTGTACGACTGGGTGATGCCCTCCGCACGACAGAACTGTCCAAGCCGACCAGAGGCGAACTCGCCGCCACGGTCGGAGTGGAGACACAACACGGGGAGACCGCGGTGGAGACGCGCAGCCACAACCCACGGGAGAAGAACGTCGGGCACGTCGGCCTTCCGCTCCAGGGGAAACACCGTGGTGTAGCGCGTGTAGTCGTCGACGAGCACAAGGAAGTAGCGCTCACCGCGCGGTCCGGGGACGGGGGCAGGGCCCCAAACGTCCAAGTGCAGGGTCTGAAGGGGGGCAGTAGCAGGACGCAGCGAGGAGGAGTGAGGAGCACGGCGGAGCCGACCCTCGACGCAAGGCGTGCACGGTGGCGCAGTCGAGGGAGGAAGGGCAGGGAGCGACGCGGGGAGACCTAAGACAAGACCGTGCTGGGACATGTGACGCAGACGCGGGAGAGCAGGGTGACCTAAGCGGTGGTGCCAGAGAAGGGAGGGGTGAGTGAGGGACCGACACGAGCAAGCTGCAGCGACCTGGGAGGACGCACCAACCGGGGGGGAAGCGGTGTGTAGGGTAAACAGACCGGACACCGGGTCCCGGGGGAACGTCGCAAGGGGGGAACCTGAGACAGCCTCAGAACAGACAGCGAACCGCTCGTGCCCGGGGAACGTGGTGGTGACGCCGAGGTCCTGGAGACAGCCGACACCAACCAGGTTCCTGGAGAACGAGGGAACGTGGAGGCCAGTAAGGGAGCCCGAGGGAACTGCCGGACAAGGAAGGGACGTAGAACTGCGCGCGACGACCGGACCCGCAGAGGGGTCAGCGAGAGAGACAACAGCAGGTGCAGCAAGCGGCGTGAGCGTGGAACGGTCGCGGAAGAAGCAGGCAGAAGCACCAGAGTCGAGAGTGAAGGACAGCGACGCAGTGGCGGAGGCCGGGGACGGAGCCGGTGCAGCGACTAGACTAGGCAACCTAGGCAGTCCTACGCCTGTCGCAGCAGGGGAAGCTAAGCTACACAAGGGTGAAACACCTAAACTAGAGTACACAGGGTAGTAAGATCCAGCAACACTAGAAGCGTCAGCATACAAAGCATGCAAAGCAGCACCTATCTGATCCATGTCTAACTCAAAGATCGGCACGCCCTGGCGGAGTAGGCTGTGCCAGTCAGGGAGGTCCGGGGCCGGGCCAAAGCGACGACGAAAAAGATCGTCGAGGCGGCGGAAACAGCGGGCGGTCGGGTGCGGGCGGCGGCACAGAGTGCCGCGGAGAGGCCCGGTCTGAAGCTGGTACTGGCAGGTCACAACACTGGAGCCGCTGGTAGACGCCAAGCTGCGCGGGCCGCCACCACGGCCACCGCCTCCGGAGGTGCCGGGCCAACCAGGCGGGAGACGAGCCCACGGCTGCGGCGGGTGCTGCTGGGACGGCGGCTGCGGCTGGGGCTGGTCCTGCTGCTGCTGGGGCTGCTGCTCCTGCCCACCAGTGGTAGTCCCCTCAGGCGGACTACCGTCACCACCACCACGACCACTACCACCTGCGTCACCACCCCTACCTCCCTGGCGGCCACGGCCACCGCGACGCGAGCGCTGCTGCGGGTGGACAGCAGCAGCCGTCTCGGTAAGAGGGGTCGCCGTGGCGACCGCAGCCGAAACGTCAGTGAACGTGCACTGGGATGGGGCACAGCCGTGAAAGATAGAGACTGCCGGCGCACCGCTCGACTGAGCGATAGTGCGCTGGCGAGTCTCGATCTCAGTGAGGGTGTCGACAAAGGCGATCAGGGTGAGGTCACCCGGGTGCTGGCTAAGAAAGTGGTCGCGAGCACTAGCGAGGCGGTCTGGCAGGCGCATAGCGATAAAATAGAGCGTCATGCAGAAAGGAGGGGGGAGCGCAGTGAGCTGGGCAGCAGTGCTGGCAGTGCGATAGCGAGTCTCTAGGGCACGCAAATGAGTGGCAAAGTCTGCGACAGTAGGGAAGGCAGCCAGGTCTGGGAACAGCATCGGAAAGAGCAAGCGGCCAGCAGAAGCGGAGGCAGGGGTGGAATAGCGAGCAATAACGGCGTCTAAATAAGCTTTGGCCGTTTCAACAGTAGCAAAACGCGAGCGCTCAGACACAGGGAGGGCGTGACTAATAGCAACCTGAGCTACTGCATCGCGTGAGTCCCAGACCGCACAGGCCAGCGCAGCAGTAGAGAAAGCCTCACGGTCATCAGAGGAGGGGTCAGCAGGGAGGGGAGTAGGTGCAGGGGGACGGGGGAGCAAGCCATCAGCATGGACAACCAGAGAGTGGCCATCCTGGCGCTGACCTGTAAGCTGGCGGCGGAGATCGGAGAGCCAGGCGGCGAAGTCAACCGCGTGGCCCTCAGCGTCCAGGCGGAGCACAAAGTCAGCCATCGTGCAGGGTCAGCGGCACAGCTCCTCAGCGACACAGCGGCACAGCAGCACAGCTCCTCAGCGGCACAGGAGCACAGCGGCGCGGGGACACGGCGGCAGCACTCTCCAGTAGGGCAGCAGCTAGGCGTCCCAGCGCAGGCGAGCAGAAGACACAGGGCCCGAGAGGACACGGCAGGCCGAGCAGGGGAGGCGGGCAGGTGCTCTGGGGCCGGGCTGGTGCTGGGAGGGGCGAGGCTGGTGCTGCTGGGGCCGGTCGGGCACGAGGAGGGGCCGGGCAGCGCTGAGGAGAGGCCGGGCGGCGCTAGGAAGGGGCCGGGCGGCACTAGGAGGAGGCCGAGCGGCACTAGGAGGCCAGGCAGGCGAGCGCTAACAGCAGGCGCGACAGGGGCCAGCGGGCGCGACGAGGCCTAAGGGGCGCGACGGGGCCCAGCGGGCACGACGGGGCCCAGGGGGGGCGCGACGGGGCCGAGGAGGCGCGACGGGGACCAGCGGGCACGACGGGGCCCAGGGGGCCGCGACGGGGCCTAACGGGCGCGACGGGGCCCAGGGGGGGCGCGACGGGGCCTAGCAGGCGCGACGGGGCCTAGGAAGCGCGAAGGGGCCCAGCGGGTGCGACGGGGCCTAGGAGGCGCGACAGGGCCCAGCGGGCGCGACGGTGCCCAGAGGGGGCGCGACGGGGCCTAGGAGGCGCGACGGGGCCCAGCGGGCACGACAGGGCCTAGGAGGGGCGCGACGGGGCCGAACGGGCGCGGCGGGGCCCAGAGGGGGGGGGACGCGACGGGGCTTAGGAGGCGCGACGATGCCTAGGAGGCACGACGGGGCTCAGCGGGCTCGACGGGGCCCATGGGGGGCGCGACGGGGCCTAGGAGGCGCAACGGGGCCCAGCGGGGGCGCGTTAGGGCCTAGGGGTCGCGACGGGGCCCAGCGGGCGCGACGGGGCCCAGGGGGAGCGCGACGGGGCCTAGGAGGCGCGACGGGGCCCAGCGGGCACGACGGGGCCCAGGGGGGGCGCGACGGGGCCTAGGGGGCGCGACGGGGCCTAGGAGGCGCGACGGGCGGAAGCGGTAGGCGGGGGGATCCTAACCTAAGCGTGATACCATGTTAACGTAGAAACGAATGATTACTAGAGGTGGAAACCTAGAACAAATACTAGTTGGTTGTACTCACTAGAAGCATACCTCAGTCTAGCCTATAACTTCTACATAGATAATATGTATAAGTTGACACACCCTAGTCTATATATCCTTTAACACACATCCTAGTACCATTATTTTCTTTCTGATAGCTGCTGCCTACCTACATTTCTGCATCCTAGCTTCCTAGCTAGTTTCCTAAGCTTCTGCGGCATACCACCTTCGAAAGATTTTCTACAACGTAGCATTCCTGAACCTTTCAATCAATGCTGAACCTGAGTGCAAGGAGTATGAGATGGAGAGAAGGGTCTTAGGGGCAAAAAACTACCTTTTAGCAGGTCATAGCATCCTGTGAACTACCAAAAACACCACCAGCAGCCCGCTGCAAAATATTTTTACCAGTAACTCGAATCCTTCCCAAAGACTCCTGACTTGGTCCAAAACAATGTCTTAGTTGTTCCTCTTAATAAACGCTTCAAGGTTCTCCTTCCTCGCCCCTACAAGTTCAGCCACCTTCACCCCACCCTGAAAAACCTGGAAGGTCGGCGTCGCGGAGATGCTGCACTCTTCTGCTACGTTCTTCAACGTTCAGACCACATCGATTCTTAGGCGATCTCAACCGTCCAACGGAAAAAGTTACAGCAGACCTCAACGGAATAGTAAGCAGTAAAACTGAGCCTGACGTGGACGAACCTCAACAGTGTCGACATCGACTTGAAGGAAGACGAGATCGGTGTATTTATTCGAGAAGCCCTCAAAAGTAGGACTGATCATCTTGCTAGCGCCGCACCGTTGCGTGGTAAAATTGACGATGACCTGAAGCATCAAAGAGCACCAAGATGAGACAGGTAATTGCATCCAGGTACCAATGTCACTACGGTTGGAACTAAATACGGAGGCGGCATCTCGGACAACTCCTGACAGGAAAGCGCCAACTGACCGCCGCAGCAACGGCGACGTTGAAAGGAATGCTGACCCTGACAGCTCACCGTTCTGCCGTCATCGTTAGCACCCGCGAGGATCTCCGCCCACTGCTCCTTTGAGGTGACGTTAGTAACACCAGGCATAGTACGTCGCGAGGGGGAGACAATCAGTCCAATGCGGTACAACGGTGAGTCAGCAACTGCCTACAACAGAAGCGATCACCAAAACTTAGAGCCCCCGTCTCATAATTCTAGGATCCGACCAAGTGTAAAATGCTCGGTACCCAGTTACGCTGGCGAAAATGAAGAGAGGCAAGGAAATGCCTCGGAGAGTGTGTTTCTTGCTGGGGGGCGAGACCAACTGTAAAACCAGCAGTGAAATATGAGAATGAGCAAGTTCACGGAAGAATGGGGACGTTGGACCGTTCGATCGTCTAGAAGTTCGGATCCGACGGTTCAGCGAGTGTATTACTAAATCTACCGCTGTAAACGAAGTGGAATTTGGCTAAGCAGGAAAATTGGATTCTGCACCGTCCGATGTAAAATTAACCTCCAGACTGATGTGCAAAACCTATTGCGAGCCACCCTTCCCCAAACCTGTTTTTGGTTCGGGTGTTTTGCCGAAACAAAATGGTCTTGCCACTTGCGTTTCGTTTTCGTCATTTTTTTTATACCTCGCCTACCAATCAGAGTTTGCCTGCTCCAACCAAGTGTAAAACTCTAGTAATTATGAGACGGGGGCTTTAGGGGAGTGAGGACACTGTCCACTGGACAGGGCTGGCAAGCTGGAACAAGCTGGAACAAGCTGGAACAAGGCTCGACGCCCAAGCGTCGGAGGGGTTGCGTAGTGTAAGGAATTTTATTCCTTACCGGGTTGTACTGCAATCTCGTACACCCGAACTCTCGGAAGACCAGGCTCGGTCCGTTTCCGAAGCGACCCCGAGGCGAGCCCGCGCCGCCTCCGAACCTTTCGACCGCGCCATTACCCAACCAAGCCCTCCGGGCTCTTCGCCTAGCTAGAGTCCTCGCTATATAATGTTAGGCTAGCATTCTTGTACTCGTGATTATTATTCCGCGCACTCTGAGTTATTATTCATAACACGTAGTCTGTAGATTTCCAATGTGTGGAATCGTAACAGTAATACAATTTGTATTGAAATAAATCGTATGGTGTTGTAGTAGACTAAGTATAAAACTATAAACACGAACACTTGACAAATCCTCAAGTGCTGGTCCAGGATCTTTGCTGGAATGGTAGACTAGTAAGACAGCGAAAGTCTTGTAAAATGTAATAGCCAAGGTTGAATAACCTGAGTATGTGAACTTGTGGGTCATCAAAGTTAATAATGAAAAGACCTAACAAGTATTTATAGTTCTACGAAAAGTACCTATTCGTTAATGTACCTGTTTGTCACTATCGCGCTATGCGCCCTAGATGATAATGAAGGGGTGCGACTGTTCGCGTGACTGAAACGACTGTCCTATGACGAGCGCTATTTGCTGACGTCATCCTACGGACTTATCTTATACAGTATGATTCGACACTAACTACACTTAATCGACTTACATAAATGCTAAGTATCAATTATATCACAACACTCCCCTTCATTTCTGAAACGTCGATAGTGTCACTTCTTGAAGATATCGCAGAGCTTGTTTCAGTACTGAAACTTCTGTCGTGTCAGCTTCTTCGTGAGAAAATCGACAGCCATTTCGTTGGTCGAACAGTAGACCAATCGCATCCTCCCCTTCTCGACTTCATCTTTGACGAAAAAATATCGAAGCGAAATATGCTTCGTCCTGTTGACGAAACCAGGTTGATGTGCGATGCGAATTGCACTTTGATTGTCGCACTGTAGGGTAAACTGGGTAGTTGTCGTCAACTTTGCTTCTTCCAATAGTTCCTGTAAGTAAAGTCCTTCGCGTGTTGCTGTGCAGACAGCAATAAACTCAGCTTCAGCAGAGGAGAGAGCAATCAGCTCCTGCTTCGTCGAATTCCAAGAAATAGGTCCGATAGGTTCAAGACGGTAGATGAATCCAGTGCGCGATCGTCGATTAGTAGAATCAGCAGCGTGATCGGCGTCGACAAAACCGTGTAGATAGAGTGTTTTACAACCGATTACGTTGTAGACTAATCCGAAGTCAGGTGTCGAGATAAAATACTGAAGCGCGCGGAGAAGATCAAGCTGATGCTCCTCCTCAGGACGGCGTAGGAACTGAGCGAGCTGACTGGCCGCGTAGGCTAGATCAGGACGACAAGTGACAGCGGCGAAGAGTAGACAGCCTAGCTGCTCTTGATAGATCTGTAAACCGGTTGAAGTTAACAGTGCAGTGTTCGGTTTGTGGTCAGTCGGTAGCGAGCGGTACGGTGCGGAGACTGTAGTAGGCGTGAGGTTGAAGCGGGCAGCGAGAGTTGCTGCGTACTTCGAAGCGGTGAGATGAATAGTTGTCGGTGAACAGGTAATGTTCAGACCAAGAAATTGTGAGACTGTTGCGGAGACGGTAATCTGTAGATTTTTCTGTAGTTTCAGTATGAAGATATCAGCGAGGGAATCGGTAGTACTGACGAATAGGATGTCGTCGACGTAGGCAACGAGTAAAATGTAGTTGCTGCCGTCGGTCAGTAGATACATTCCCTGATCTTGCGGTAACTGTCGAAATCCAGCAATGATCAGCTGCGAGTGAAGATACTGCTGCCAGAGTCGTGGTGCCTATTTAATGCCGTACAGGGATTTTTGTAGACGGCAAACGCTCGGTGGGTTAGTAGTATAAGAATGCGGGTACTCTACCAGGATGAGTGCGTCGACGGGTGCATAGAGAAATGCATTCGACACGTCGATTTGGCGAAGACGTAGATTACGGCAGGCGGCGACACAAAGAAGAATCCGAACACTTGTATGTCGGCCGACAGGAGCAAAGGTTAGTTCATAGTCGATGCCGCAAGTCTGCTCGGATCCGCGGACGACCCATCGCGCTTTGAACTTTTCAAACGACCCATCTGCATTAGTCTTGACGCGGAAGACCCATTTTCCGGTAAGTACCTTCTTCCCTTTGACCTCTGAAGTCGGTACTAAATCCCATGTGCCACGATTCTTGAGTGCTGCTAGCTCCTTGTCCATGGCTTCGCGCCATTTTTCTCGGTGAGGACTCGTAAGAGCTTGTCGGACAGTTTTCGGTTAAGGTATTTTACTGTCGTTGCACTGTACTGCTACTGCAAATCCCAGTATCTGCAATCCTGTTTCTGTAAAACGCGGACGTTCTTCGTTTGCACCTACGAAATTTTCTTCTGGTCCTTCTTCCCCCCCAATTTCATCAGGTGTAACACGAACTGCTTCGTCGGAGACGACGGGCATCGGCTGCTGTTGGCGATCGCGTTCGTAACTGAGGTGAACTTTGCGAATGTCATCCGGGTCAGCATCTGCAAGAGGAATAAACTTTGGTATGCCAGTCGAGGTTACAGGTTCGGGAATGTCAGTTGCGGCAGCTTCGGATGCTTCAGAAACTGCTTCGTCCTGTACATCAGCTTCGGCCTCGTCAGTGGCAAACGCACGCGAGCCTTCGAACAGCCTGGCGGGGTTGGCAGCTGCTGCCTGGTGGGCACGAAAAACAGGCAAGGTGAGTCTTTCATAGAAAAGAAAATCACGTGATGGAACGATTTGGTTGGACCGGAGATCCAAAATCTTCCACGCGTGATATTGTTTTTCGATGCCGAGATATACCCCCCATTTTGCTCGTTCGGAAAATTTGCCGAGGGCTGCAGTTGGAGGACGAAACTGTGCAACACACCCGAAAACTCGAAAAAGTTTTGTGCTTCCAACTGTACGTGTCCATTGCAGGTGTGGAGAGGAAAACTTGGGCAGGGACGTTGAAGAAAGAAGATTGTGTAACAGCACGGTGTGGTCCATCGCATACGGCCAAAAATGCGGTGGAAGTGCTGCCTGCGTCAGCAGAGCACGCATCTTCTCCTGCAGAGTTTTGTTCAACCTTTCTGCTACCCCCATCTGTTGGTGTGCATGCGGCAGAGACTGCTTCCGTTTGATGCCGAGTGTCTGAAGGTAGTCTGTGAAAGTGTTGCTGGTGTACTCCCTTGCACCATCGCTCTGGAATTCTTGCAGTTTCACTCCAGACTCCCGTTCAGCGACAGCGAGCCATGCAACGAAGACGGAGTGAGCGAGATGGCGCGCAGGTAAGTTGGCTGTCCAGACATAGCGTGTAGACGCTTCGATGAATGTTATCACATACTTCTCGTCTTTAGGTCCTGCTTCAGACAAGTTGAGTATGTCGCTGTAGACTTTCTGCATAAGTTTATAACGTGTTGAGCTAGGAAAATGACTTGGAAACGGATCGTGCGTAAGGTTGGCAACTGGACAAGTGGTGCAAACCGTCGGATGAGATTGCGGCTTCATCTCCGTGCCGTCAGGTAAAAGTAGACTATTCTTATCAAGAACTGCTGCTCGGATTGAATGATTAAGAATCCCTTGTGATGGATGTCCTAACCGCTGATGCCATATATCTTCTGTGGCTTTGTGTCCTGATGATCGCAGGTAGAAATCGGAGTTAGTATAAAAGGAAGAAAGAATGAAAGGAGAAAGTGCTGGTGACTTGTTAATATCTCCTTCGACGAAACGATTAAGAGGTAATGGAATAGTCGTTGGTGCGGCTACAGTTGTGATTGCAACTTTTGATGCTGCTTCTGTTGATGTCGTGGCAGGTGTTTCGGCGACAGCTACTGTTGGACTCGGCTGCTCAGCTACTGCTTCCTGTTCTGCTTCTTCAACGATGTCTGGTTCATCGGCTGCAAGACCACTTATTTCTCCCCAAAGTGGTGCTGGAGTTCCTTGGAAGGCTGCACGGGTATTACAAAACGTTCGCCACGCGGTGGCAATTCCCAGGTATCCAACGCGGTGAGTACAGCGGCTGCAGTTCGAGAAGTTGTTGGTACAGTGGTTGCTCGGAAGTCAATGTCCACATGTTGATAATCTGTTTCTTCTGGGTGATCCCAGGGACCAAGTGCAAGGACGCGTTCAGAATCGCCAGAAGTTCCCTGTGCTGCGAACTGAAGTACCGACACGCCATGTTGAGTGGCGGCACGACCAAGGTAGGTATTAGTTGTACTGTGCCAGAGCTCTTGATCCATCGTCTCACAATTTCCTTGTGTGCGGATTTTGTGTGCTAGGAGTTGAGCCGTGGAAAGAAGGTTGAAGCCAAGACCAGCGACGATAAGAACATTCGTAACATGAAGTGAGTATCCCGTGTCGATAGATTCGAGCATGACACTGCCAACTGATCGTGCCATTATCGTTTGTCCGTTTGCGACTGTGACAGGTATCGGACGACGAAGCGGACGCTGATTCGTGATAAAGCTTGTTTCGGCAGAACACATATGCCATCTGCAGCAGCTGTCAAGATACCAGGTATTTGGTCCTGAAATTATGCGAGCAAGGTTAGCGTAAACTTGAGGTAAAGGAATGCCTTCAGCACTTGTTGTTTCTTCAAGTCGTGTTTCGAAATCTGCTTCTGAAACATCAACTGTGGTGACGCAGCCAAAAACCCCTTTTCCTGATGTGGCAGATGCGAAGACCGGCGGACGATGCTGCGACGTCGATGGATTCTGCGGCGGTTTTGGCATCTGCTGCTGCTGAGACGTTAACTGCTGCTGTGGCTGTTGTGTCTTCGGTAACTGCTGCGATCGTTGATACGGCTGCGAAGTATTGCGACGATTTTGATGACGGCTGCGACAGTTTTTGTAAGTATGTCCTGGTTTCTTACAGAAATGGCAGAACGGATACTTTGGTGGATGTCGATGCTGTGTTTCTGGATTGGAGTAAAAACTTAAATGAACCCCCCTTTTCTGGTTGCGTTGTGACTGCAGGTCAAGATCTTGCTGCTCTGCTTGAAGATAAGAAGAAATTTCAGCTTCGGAGAGGTTGAGATTCATGCGCAGGAAGGCGCGCGTCTGTTGCCATTCGGGTCCAAGACCAGCAAGAAGGACAGTGAGATACATCTCATGAGGGAAGTATCCTCCGCTCTTCTCCAGTTGGTCACGTAATGTACGGACGCGGTTAACGTAGTCCATGACGTTTTCATTTGTCATCATCTGCACACTTGTCAGCTGCGAAAGTATTTTACTCATTGTTATAGTATCCTTTGCCATGTATACCCCTTTCAGATGGTTCCATGCAGTTTCGGCTGGTGTGAAACTTGAGTGAAATGATCGAACGCCGAGCTACTCCTTCGGCGACAAGTTCCGTACAAGAACTGTATACGCCCCGAGAGAGGCGTGCAAGAAACTCTGCTGCTCCAGTTGTGTTCCCACGACAGGATACGTAAACTCGCCAGTGAAGAACGGCCATAGCCCAGCGGACTGCGCCAGAAGCTCAAACTCAAAGCTCCAGGAGTAGAAGTCAACACCATTAAAAGGTACGGTTGTCTTGATCTGAGTATTGTTAAGTAAATTTGGAGGCTGAAAAACAATGCCTGGCTGTTGCTGTTGTTGTTGCTGTTGTTGCTGTTGCTGTTGTTGCTGCTGTTGCTGTGGTTGCTGATACTGCTGTTGTTGTTGCTGAGCAGGGGAACGACCGAAGATATAGAAAGGATGCTGAAACTGCTGCGACTGCGGCTGGTGTACGAAAGGTGAGAAAGCGAACGAACCAGTTCTTGGAGCTGTAGCTCCACGCATGTAACTTGAGCCGTCAAGGCTCATTCCACTGAACGCAGATGAAATTGATTGCGTTGAAACTGGTGGCTGTACTGATGCTTGTTGCTGTGCTGTTGTCTGTGATTGTTGCTATTGCGTTGCAGGTGCAGTCGATGGAGCACCTGGAGTATTCACAGAAGGCGGATTCTGCTGTTGCATACCGATATTAGCGTAGGTTGGTGGAAAGTGCCCAGAGGCTGAGAGACCAGCGGTGGTAGTGGAGGCATGTGCTCCAGTAGTCCCAGTAACTGATCCAGCAGATGGTGCTGGTGTTGAACCAGTCATAGTTGACGGTAGTCTTAATCCCAGATAGCTCTCATACCATGAAATAAATCATATGGTGTTGTAGTAGACTAAGTATAAAACTATAAACACGAACACTTGGCAAATCCTCAAGTGTTGGTCCAGGCTCTTTGCTGGAATGGTAGACTAGTAAGACAGCGGAAGTCTTGTAAAATGTAATAGTCAAGATTGAATAACCTGAGTATGTGAACTTGTGGGTAATCAAAGTTAATAATGAAAAGACCTAACAAGTATTTATAGTTCTACGAAAAGTACCTATTCGCTAATGTACTTGTTCGTCACTATTGCGCTATGCGCCCTAGAGGATAATGAAGGGGTGCGACTATTCGCGTGACTGAAATGACTGTCCTATGACGAGCGCTATTTGCTGACGTCATCCTACGGACTTATCTTCTACAGTAGGATTCGACACTAACTACACTTAATCGACTTACAGAAATGCTAAGTATCAATTATATCACAACATGTATGACATCTAAATTTACATTTCATATTAAAGTTCATAATTGTGTAGTGAGAAATGTATTGTGTAGTTCGACACATCCCCTAACAATATTATATATAATAATATTTATAACACCGTAAAGAGTAAAGATGATTCTTCATGGTGTGGATGGGGGAAAATGTACAGATGTAATTTATATCGTATAACAATAACCATGATGAGCACAATATAGGCTTTTCACATTTGTCTAAGTCACATCAAGGGTTTATTAATTTAAATGAATACATAGAGTAGTATAATATTTATATCGATCTTATGATATTGATCTAGTGGTTTTTACATAATAATGATTTTCATGTATGTATTATATTGACATGAATATACTGATATAATGGTTAAATTAATATAAGTATACACATGTAATGACATCATGCTTATATTGATACACTGACGGAAAGAATTGTCCACATGTTTGGCAATTTTTTGAATTTCCACCGTTAAAGGGCATTTGAACATTAAGCCTTAATTGGAGGCATTACCCACTATATGCAGGCCAATCTAGGGAGACATAAAAATGCTACACATTTGATGAAACTACTATCGTTAACAGTAAACAGCAAACATAACCAAACACGGTGCATGTGGACAATTATTTCCAGGCGGAAGCAGCAACTTGAAAAACCCTTAAACTAGTACCTGGTCCACCGCCCTTTAGCCCTAATCACTGCTTTCACCCTCCTGGGCATGCTGTCGACCAAATTGGAGCACACCTCTGATGGGATCTTCTCCCACTCCTCTTGTACACGCTCCCACAGGTCCACCATACCAGTGGGAGGTGTCTCATGCTTTCCCAGATCCCTTTTAAGATGAGCCCACAGATGCTCAATGGGGTTCAGATCAGGACTTCCTGCCGGCCACTCCAGGACCCCATACTCCTGCTCCTGAAGCCACTTCTGCACCACACGGGCCTTATGCTTGGGGTCGTTATCATGCTGGAAGATCACAGCCGAGGGGGTTAGCTTGTAAAAGTCGATGGTTTTTTTCAGCTCGTCTTGCAAAATGCTCAGATACAGCGGCCCGTCCATCCGACCATCGATTTTGCACATGAAACCCGCCCCCTCAAACGTCATACATCCCCAGATCATCAAGCCGCCGCCCCCGTGTTTGACGGTTTGCTTGATCTGGTGGTGTTGGAGAGTCGTACCTTCACGAACCCAGGCGTACGCGCGGCCGTCAGAGCCGAACCTACTAATCCTCGTCTCATCCGACCATATGACCCGTCGCCAATCATCTATGGTCCAATCCGCGTGGGCCCGTGCGAACGCCAGCCTATCGCGGATATTTTTCTTGGAGAGTCGCGGCTTCTTAGGCTGCTGAACTGCGATAAGGCCGCTGGATTTGAGCGCATTGCGCACCGTCCTAGGATGCACCGTGATGCCGTGCTGGGATTCGACGATTTGGGCCGCATGCCTCGAGGTTTTCGCCTCGCCGCTAGTGATTGCCCTGACGATCCCACGACGAATTCTACTCGACAGTACGCGTGGACGACCAGCAGTGGGCATTGTAGGACGTACGTCCTCGGGACTAGTCTCTGAAATTGCCTTGAGCCCGACATCATGTACTGTACTTTTCCCTACGCCAACCTGTTTCGCGATTTGCCTCGTGCTGAACCCCCTACGCAACAGGGCCACGATCCGGGCGCGACGAGCCTCATCTATCGGTCTCATCTTGGCGTAGTCTACGCCTCGGGTATAAACTCTATTCTGACTACTCGACGATTGCGTTAGGAACTATGGAGAGAATGAGCTAGTCGAAAACGGATCTAGTCCGCTGCTTGGCCAAAACTGTCCGGATGCACTCACGCGACTGAAAATTTGTCCACGCTATTAGTGCGACCCATTCAGGTTGCAAACGTGTTACCCTATTGTAACTGGCACGCGTAACTTATTAGTCAGCAATGAACATTCAACGATACATCGGGTGAAACATTCAAATTATGTGTTGAACCTAAAATTGGACTTTATCCGGGCAATACTTTCCGTCGCTGTATAATGATTTTGACATCCTTCTCTAGCCTCATCATCATAGCATTAGATTGTAACACGTTGGATTTGACATCGAAGCACGCGTTGAAGCCGAAACTACGCAAGAAACCTGCTTGTTCGTGTTTAATGAATCATTGACAAAATATTTTTAAGCCTAATCATTATGGGCTGAGGTACCTCAAGTATCGCATGTGGTGTCACAAGCTTGTATCAGCTTGAAGTTGAAACCGGCAACTACCTGAGAAACCTGACTACAGTACCTCATGTTCTGTACAAACAATAAACGCGCATCGGGATGGGGTGTACGTTTCTTGCTTCGTCGTTCCTATGCGTTTCTTACTTCCTCCTCCCAATGCATTTCTTGTTTTCTGCTCCTCGCGCGTTTCTTGTTCAGACATTCATTCATCGCAGCTAGCTTTCCAGCTTCCCTCACATTCCTTCCCTCAAGCTTTCTAGACTTTCAAGTTTCAATCAGCTTCTTTGCCCGGTAAGCGTAGAACCGCTGGGCGCGTTTCCTTGGAGCTGGCGCTGGCGCTGGCTCTACCGCTCAGCATTTGGCGCTGGCATTTAGGCGCTGGCGCTAACACTGGCGCTGGCGATTTGGCACCAGGCGCTGGCGTTTTGGCGCTGGCACTGGCGTTTCGGCGCTGGCATTTTGGCGCTGGCAATTCGGCGCTGGCGCTGATGATTTGGCGCTGGCGCTGGTGCTGGCGCTGGCGTTCGTGCTGGCGCTGGCGCTAGCATTGGCGCTGGTGTTTTGGCCTTTTGGCTGGCCCTGGCGCTGGCGTTTTACGCTAGCGCTGGCGCTGGCGTTTTAGCGCTGGTGCTGGCGCTGGTGCTGGCGTTTTGGCGCTCGCGTTGGCGATGGCGTTTTGACGCTGACGCTCGCGCCTCCCGTCCACCCTTCGTTCCTCCCTCCATTTCTCCCTCCCCCGTTTGTCGTCCCCTCTCCGCCCCTCCCCCTCAGTCGTCCCCCCTTCCGTCCCTCCCCCTTTGTAGTCCCCCCTCCGTCCCTCCCCCTTGGTCGTCCCCCCTCCGTTCCTCCCCTTTTGCCGTCCCCCCTCCTTTCCTCCCCCTTTGTCGTCCCCCCTCCATTCCCCCCCTTTGTCGTCCCCCCACCCTTCATCCGCCTTTGTCGTACCCCCTCCGTTCCTCCCCCCTTTGTCTTCCTCCCTCCGTTCCCCCCCTTTTGTCGTCCCCCCCCCGTCCCTCCCGCTTTTGTCCTCCCCCCTCCGCCCCTCCCCCTTAGTCGTCCCCCCTCCGTCCCTCCCCTTTGGTCGTCCCCCCTCCGTTCCTCCCCTTTTGCCGTCCCCCCTCCTTTCCTCCCCCTTTGCCGTCCCCCCTCCGTTCCCCCCCCTTTGTCGTCCCCCCACACTTCATCCGCCTTTGTCGTCCCCCCTCCGTTTCTCCCCCTTTGTCGTCCCCCCTCCGTTCCTCCCCTTTGGCCGTCCCCCCTCCGTTCCTCCCCCTTGGCCGTCCCCCCTCCGTTCCCCCCCCTTCGTCGTCCCCCCTCCGTCCACCCCTTCGTCGTCCCCCCTCCGCCCCTCCCCCTTTTGTCGTCCCCCCTCCGTCCCTCCCCCTTTGTAGTCCCCCCTCCGTCCCTCCCCCTTGGCCGTCCCCCCTCCGTTCCTCCCTTTTGCCGTCCCCCCCTCCTTTCCTCCCCCTTTGTCGTCCCCCCTCCCTTCATCCGCATTTGTCCTCCCCCCTCCGCTCCTCCCCCTTTGCTGTCCCCCCTCCATCCCTCCCCCTTTTGTCGTCCCCCCTCCGCCCCTCCCCCTAAGTCGCCCCCCCTCCGTCCCTCCCCCTTTGTAGTCCCCCCTCCGTCCCTCCCCCTTGACCGTCCCCCCTCCCTTCCTCCCCTTTTGCCGTCCCCCCTCCTTGCGTCCCCCTTTGTCGTCCCCCCTCCGTTCCCCCCCCTTTGTCGTTCCCCCTCCTTTCATCCGCCTTTGTCATCCCCCCTCCGTTCCTCCCCCTTTGCTGTCCCCCCTCCGTTCCTCCCCCTTTGCCGTCCCCCCTTCGTTCCCCCCCCTTTGCCGTCCCCCCTCCATCCATCCCCCCTTGTCGTCCTCCCTCCGTTCCTCCCCCTTTGTCGTCCCCCCTCCGTTCCTCCCCCTTTGCCATCCCCCCTCCGTTTCCCCCCCTTTGCCGTCCCCCCTCCATCCCTCCCCCCTTGTCGTCCCCCCTCCATTCCTCCCCCTTTGTCGTTCCCCCTCCGTTCCTCCTCCCTTCGTCGTCTTGCCTCAGTTCCCCCCCTTTTGTCATCCCCCCTCCGCCCCTCCCCCTTAGTCGTCCCCCCTCCGTCCCTCCCCCTTGGCCGTTCCCCCTCCGTTCCTCCCCTTTTGCCGTCCCCCCTCCTTTCGTCCCCCTTTGTCGTCCCCCCTCCGTTCCCCCCCCTTTGTTGTCCCCACCTAATCGCTCTTGATTCTCTCTTGCTGCTAGTGGGTCAAACTCTTCCCTCTTATCTTCTCCCCCTGTTATCCTCTCCAATCATGTCATCACGTTCATGGTCGCCACATTCCAAGAGCATTCCAAGTCGT